CTAACAACAACCTTGTAGGTACTATTATCTCCACCCTAGGAATGAGGGCCAGAGGCACACTAATAGTAGTTAACAACAAAAGACTAAGCTTTTCTTAATACAGTGTTGAATGCCAAGGATATTTATCATACCTAATATTTGCTTTGAGTGTAGAAGTTTTTGCTCAACCAGGATTTAATAAGCACATACTTTGTGGCAGACATTGTGTCCATTGTCCAGTCAGTTCTGCTATAAGGTGACATATGTGTTTTTAAAAATCACCGTGCTGTGCAATAAACACAGAAAATATGGGAAAAAGTGGGTTGGGGACACATACTCAAAAACCTCATCAGTGACATTGTAAAAACGGGTAGGAATCTAATAAAAATGGCAGCCTGGTTTTATACATGTTAGAGGACTAAGAAATATATAAATATCACAATAAACGGGCATTTTACCTTAAAAAAATGAAAAAGCCTGATGTTTGCTCATGGAAGCAGGTGCCAAACATATCATATTGCTGCTTGTGATTCATGGTGAAACTGCAGCATGGGGGGAAAGGGAGTGGGGGAGTTGGCAGACGTTTGAGGCATGAGCGTGTTTGTGTGCATTTCATACATCCCCGCACAGCTGGGTGCAGCTGGCTGTGTTCCTCTAGTGTTTCTTGTGTAAGAAACCACATATTTGCAAACATGAACTTTGTGTTGTACTCACATTGTTTCCTAATACCTCATTCTGGTCAGGATGAATTTGCATTTTCAAAACAAATCATGCCTACCATCTTCACAATGTGCCTGAAGCCTGGGTCAATGCAGTCACTTGGTAGTATCTCAATAAAAATGCTGAGTGGATAAGTGGATGAATGCATAAATAGTGGAAAAGTATGGTGTGACTCACATAGCTTGTCTGAAATACAACTAAGAGGGAATGGACAGCAGGTGGTCATGAGTTAGTTAACTCATATTAATGATTTGACCCCGCCAAATAGTCCCAGAATTTTGCAATTTTATAAATTAAAGGTGGTAATTCATTAACATAAATATGTTATTAATTTTATATTATAGTACATACTTTTTATTAAGGACATCATTAGAAATGATTAGATTATTTTGATGAACCCAAAAATCTAAAATTGGGTTTTTCCTGATAGTTCTAGTTTTATATTTATCTACAGGCCTTGTGAATTTTTCTTTACTTTCTTTTTCTCTTTATTCTTTGGACAACAGTGAGAATACTGATTTTTAAAGTTTAAAACTTGAAACTATTATAATTATTATCAGCATGACTTGAAAGCTCTCAAAATAATATTCAAGTAAACTGATTATGAAACTTACTTAGAAGAATTGGCAAATTTCAACGTTTGCTCATGAGCACTATCTAGCAAATGTATAAATTCTTTAGAATCTTTGAAATTGAGAGTTAGACAAGGAGAACTCAACTACAGATACTTACAAAGCAAAACTGGGATCTCATGATATGAATTCACACTGTATCTGATAATAAGCTTTTAGTTCAAGATGAGAAAATAGATGGAGCATATTCAGATGGACCCTGCCTGGCACTGAATTAAGTACACACCTGTGTATATACTCTAATAGTCTATGTGCTGCTATACTTCACTCAGACAAGATATGAATAGGTATGGTGTTTTAGACATTACAACCTAGTTAATCAATAAGACATACATAAACAGTTCAAATTATATAAAAGTAGGTACAAAGGAAGCCTTATCTTGAGACCTACACCCCCACAACCTAATAAATATTTATCAGCCAGGAAGTAAATATCAGCAGCTGACATTTCATGGGTACTTATTTCCAAGGCATTCTGCTAATCACTCTTCATATATTAATTATATCTTCAAAACCCCCATAAGGTAGGAACTATTATGATCTTCATTTTATAAATAAGGAAACAGAGATAAAGAAAATATGTGCATGCATTCCATGCATCAGACTTCAGGAAAACTACTGTTCAAGAATGTTATGCAAAGCTCCTGGCTGTCTGAACTCCGAATCCCTTGCCTCAAAGCTAGTTAGCTGCATGAACTGGATTATGCATGATGAATATTAGGAAAGCCACATTCAACCAAGCAGTAGAAGCTGGATCTGGAACATTTGGGTTGATGATAAAATTAAGGCTTAATTATAATATTAAAACACACAGGAATTACAAGGCATCTGGCATCCCTCCCACAGGCCTAGCCATCAGGGACTGACCAGGTGGGGAAACCTTCCTCCATGGACACCAATGCCTTTACATCTCTAAAGAAATAGTAAGGAAGATGAAATAAAAGGACGTGAAGTGCCCATGATGAAATAGAGCTAAGCATTTTATAGTAAGCATCAGATCAGCTGAGGCTAAAAACAAATGTGTTGCAACTTGCTAAAGGAATGTACTAAAGCTGAAGCTGTGCTGAACACTCAGAGCTTCACAGTGAGCCTCCCATTTAATAGCAAAGAAACAGTGACTTAGTTTCCCTCCTGTGGTTTAAGGGGATTGGATTCCTGTGAACCAATACCTCTGGGATCCCTGTAGACCAGAGCCTTCCAATCTTTCTACTTACTTTACAATACTTTCATGGTACAGCTGGCCCTTAAATAATAGCATTTCACTCAATGTCGTTTTGTTATAACATTGATGAGATGCCAACGGAGTTTAACTCTTGTGTATATCTATTAGACTACGGTAAAATTGGTTTCCTTATATTTCATTTTGCTTAGTCGCAGAACCTATTGACAATATTGAGGACTTGCTGCACTTACTATCTGCTAGGTTCTATTCTAAGATCAGAAAGGTCCAGGCAGCCAGTAGGTCACATGGAAATCCTGCAGTATATCTAGTGAAAGGCTGTTTGATCACTCAGCCATAGGTAGGAAAAAGTGTCTATCATACAAACACTTGAGCTTATTCATCATGCATGTATTAAGTGCCTACTGTTTGCCATCACTGCAGACACAAATTGCACCATGCACACAGGCCTAGAGCTCTGGCCTAGTTGGGGAGACAGATGGTCAAATGATCAGGGAGTATAATTACAAATGGGAACCAATGATATAAAGAAAACAGATTGTTGAGGGCATGAGGATTAAGGAGCTTGGCCAACCCTGGAGGCAGCTTGGCTGGATACTCTAAGCAGCAGAGGAGGAACGTTCCTAACAAATGAAAACGAGAATAAAGTAAAACTGCACGTGTGCACGTATGCAGGGTCTGTGGCTGAGTGAGCACAGCATCTTCAAGTGCCCCTTTCAGATGGTGCTCTGGAGAGGGAGGCACGGGATATTGGTGAAAAACTGGTCAGTAAAGTAGACAGGAGGCAGATGATTTGTGGCCTCATAGAATCCATTAAAGTTGGGGATTTTATCCTCAGATCGATGCAAAGGCAAAGTTGCTGGAAATGATGACCAATATGTTCTCAAGGAACTAGGCTTCTGACTAACATGGAAGACTATGGCAGCTAGTCACTCTTTTATTTATTTTTTAATTTAACTGATTTATCTGCCTACTTGTTTATATATATCTAGCCTATTCAGGTATGATTGACAAATTAAAGATGTTTATTTTTATCTAGCCTATTGAGGTATGATTGACAAATTAAATACGTATATATTTAGGTTATAGAACATGATATTTAAGATATGCAATGAGATGATTTAAGATCCATTGCACAATAATTATCACAATCCAGTTAATTAACACATCCCTCACCTCTCATTTCATATAGCTTTGATAAATTATGTAAGATATAAATATACCTAAATGTATCGTGGGGACACTTCCAGATCATGATGGGGCACTTTATAAACACAACTGGACCAAGTCATCTATAGTTTTCCCCTCACTAATCTGACAATTCTCTACACCCTTCAACCTTCATCTTTTTTTAATGTAGGCCAGACAAGAATTTAACACATCAAATAGTAAGTGAGTGGTTGCTTAACTGAATTTCCAAGGAAGCAGAGGAGACAAGGATAGCTCTGGTCACTATCCAAACCACAAATAACAATGTCAGAAGGAGATCTTGCAATCTGTTAGCAAATGGTCAGTGTAAAAATACTGGACAAGCCAACATAACTAGATCTTGGTCCCTTGCTGTTGGCATTTTTAAAATCAGAATTAAGCAAGAAGGGCTTACTTTCCAGGGAAATGTAGTCACTACTTTGTAGGTATGGTGAAGGTGAACCCCTTTGAAACACTATATATGATGGAAGTGCATATATTCATATACAATGAGTGGCCAGATTATTATGATCTCTGAACACATAATAATCTGGCCACTCATTGTATATCCTATATAATAAAAGGCTAATATGCAAATTGTCCCCTCAACCAGAAGTTCGACCAGCAGGCAAGCCAGCCAACTGCCTATGTCCACTTCCCCTGGCCAGGCTGGCTGGATCCCACCCATGCACAAATTCATGCACTGGGACTCTAGTACACACACACACACATACACACACACACACACACACACACACACACACACACACTGAGTGCCAGATTATTATGCATCCAGAGATTTTAATAATCTGGCCACTCAGTGTATATTGACATAATGATTTTTCAAATAAGGCCGTCGAGTCTCTGTGTATCAACAGGCCATGTAGAATTTAATCATTTTGTATAAGTTTGAGGATAAAAACCCTTACTCAAGGTTTTACAGATTTCCATGATCTGCCTGTCTTTATATTCAATTGCTATTCTGATTAAAAGTACTTCAAATCCGATTCTGGATCTACTCTGAAATTTTATGTAGGAGACTTCTTCAGGGCAAGCATGAACATGGATCTCCCAATGGCATTCAAGCAATAAAAATATGCATAAACTCTTCCAACAAATGTTCAGAATCATCCTGTCTTGCCTTTTTTTTTTTTTTTTTTTTTTTTTTTTAAATCAGAAACCCTTGGAGATTGCTATGCTTTCTCTCCTAGCCATGGTCATTCTTGACATCACGTTAAGTGTTAAGACTCCCTCTGCAGTCATTTTATTTGTAATAGTGTCTTGTGTGTTGTGTCTCCTAGCTCTACATACAAACCACCACGCTTACAATCTCCATGAACCTAAGTGCGTCAGTGGCGCTGGGGATGCTATACATGCCGAAAGTGTACATCATCATTTTCCACCCTGAACTCAATGTCCAGAAACGGAAGCGAAGCTTCAAGGCAGTAGTCACAGCAGCCACCATGTCATCACGGCTGTCACACAAACCTAGTGACAGACCCAACGGTGAGGCAAAGACAGAACTCTGTGAAAACGTAGATCCAAACAGTAAGTACCTCTTCCTTCCTTTCCTCTCCCTATGCTGCATCAGGAAGCTCTCGGAAATGTGGTGTGTGCTTGCCTTTCTTGGAAGAAACACCAGAAACATTCTCGTCTCAGTGACTTGGGTTGCTTAGAGGAATGCTAACATTTTCTCCTAAGAGTCCTGCCTTAGTCTCAACACCCTTTTCTTTTTTCACCCTGTGGGAGGCACTGCTTCAGAAGTGGGAAATCTCCCCTGCCCCTTGCTTCTCATTCCCTGGTCCCTACCCTTTCCATCAAACATCTTTATTGATCCTTTCCTGTTCGGGAAACAACTTCCTGTTTAGGAAAACTTTTCAGGTCAGATTGATCTCTAGCAACAGGAATGAAATTAGAATATCTAAGAGTTTTAGAATCCTAACTTCTTTCCACTGGAACATGAATGAGGAGAAAGCTATGATTCTTTACTAAGCAAGCCTTCTAGACACAAAAATATTGGCAAAGTTTCATCCAAGTGCACAGGCCCGGACTCCACAAGGGAATGGCTTCCCCATGTGGGAAAGACATCTCCCACATCACCGCACGAGAGTTCCATTCAATGAAAACTAAATATCATGAGTGGATTAAATATCAAAGATTAAATGTCAGATCTGATATGCTATATGGCATATCTGTAACCTCTGGTAGACTTGGTTCACCCCTGCAAATGAACCTAAATAAGGTAGGCATAAAAAAATTATCCAGAGGTTAAATGCATAGAATTCACAATTGCTAATTTTACTAATACTGGTATTATAGTAAATTTCAGATTAAAAAGGAGACTTCTAGAATTTTTTTCTAGAAATATTTTGATCAGTTTCATATATAATAGAATAAAGTAGAAACAAGTGTTCGTGATACTTCCTGTTTTTAATGTAGAGGGGAATTCAGGTTATCATTCAGTCACTTGAGAAATACTATTTTTCAATTAAGAGCTGATTTTTTTGTAGCCAAAGGCTTATTGCCTAGCAAAAAGAATTTTTAGTCTAAATACTATGAAGCAATCCTTTATGGAGAGAGAAGAGAGAGAGAGAGAGAGAGAGAGAGAGAGAGAGAGAGAGAGAGAGAGAGCGCTTTAAAAACCAGGAGGCAGTGGAGTGTGATCCTGACAAACACTGTAGAAAGATCCATGATCTGGTATATTTCCATTTCTAAATGGTTGGTTTAGTGAATATTATACAACGCTTTAAAAATTCATATCATATCTTCTCTATGGTGGACCTCCCTTTGACTTTTCAATAGAAGAGATTCTGGGGCAAGGGGAGAGGAAGGAGACACATCACTATGAGAGAAGGGAGAACCAGAATGGGCAGAATGGACAGGCTCTGACCTTGGGTTTCCAGAGCAAATGGTCAGTAGAGAGAAGTGGATGGCAGATTGCTGTGGTATTCAATGTGATGTAAGAAGAAGCTTTGGGCTGAGATGGACCTGGGTTCAAAGCCAAGCCACTCACTTACTGGCTGTGTGATTTTGAGAATCACTGAGCTTTCCTAAAGCTTAATATCTATATCATAACTGTCATAAAATATCATGCATCTAGAAAATAATCGAGCAATTGAATAATTCCCTTCCACTCCTGAAAGACAAAAATATTTGCCAAAACATACATTTCCATGTATATTATTATGTAGAAATGCTGGTTGCACTTAAAGGCTAACTGAACACCAGGAAGTAGATAAAACTAATTTACAAAAAGAAATATTTCAATGAACATGCCTGTGCATCTATTTATATGTCTACTTGTATTAACAAATATAGCTGTGTATTTATATGTCCACAGAGTTTTATTCTAGAACCCGTTGTCAATTTGCATTTCATAAAAATCTTATCCTGGAGACATCCTAGTAAAGATTTATATTTCTATCTGTACACACACAGACATACATCAAGACATGCCTAAAATCAATAAGCAGAAAATACAGTCAAAACTCTAAATGTATTGAAAAACAATGACCAAATTAAGAACTTTTAATTTGGACAATTAATTCTGTATTATGCTACTTAAAAAATAATTAGCTTGGAACAACATTGTTACTGTTGTTAACTATTAATGATTAGGTTCTATCCCTATTGAGGCTGTTTGGGGTCTGATAATGCTAATACTAACAATACTATTAATATTACTACGACTCATAATAATGATACATCAATTGTCCTTTGAAATGGGCATTATGCATAATGTCATTTGTGGACTTATCCTCCCAAAAGCTGTGGAATGGGGGTTATTATTCTCATTTATTGAAGAAACCTAAGCTTAGCAAGATTAAGTGACATAACCAAAGTCACACATCTAGTGAGCAGCATGGGTGGGACTGAAACCCAGGTTTGACTCCCAAATCCATGCTTGTTTCTCTTGGCTGCTGTTTGTTGGGATGCGAGTGGCATGCTGTAATTCCAGCACGGCACTTGCTCTTTTGGCTTCCGCAGTGGGTAATACTTGCATATAAAGAACATAGTGATGCAGTGTGGCAGGCTCTGTAGTTAAATGTGCTGTGAAATGTATTATTGCCTGAAGTGTTGTCTGTCCATAAAGTCAGGATTAGTGTGTGCTCAAAGAAGGCTGCCCGGGTAGAGGCCTCGTCCTACTAACTCAAAACCCAAACACCTTATTACCTGTGTCAGTCACAATAAGTGATCCATTTGGAATGCATCGGGCGCCTTTCCCTTGAAAAGCTTTTGTTGACTTTCGTCATTATGGTTGTTTTGGTGCCTACACAAAGATAAATCAAATAGAGCCTTTATCTCGTAATCAGTACAGAAGATTTTGAAAAACTGATTTAGTTCTTTTGGACTTGTTGGTCTAGACACTCCCTAAATGCCATGAAGAATTTAACTAGGTGTTTGCTGTACCATGGGAGGAAATTCATGTACCTCCAAACATTGGGGTTTCTGATGGCCCAGTTCGCAAAGGTCCCAAAGAGGAATGTAAAGACGTTATCCAGATAAAAGTCTGCCCCGCAGAACTGTTTGTGGTGGTGGAAATGGTCTAGCCACCTGTGGCTATTCGGCACTTGAAATGTGGCCACATAATGAGGAAAGACACATTTAACTGCTCCATTTTAAAGAGTATAAATTTAAATAGCCATCTGTGGCTATGGCTACCATATCGGACAACACAGCTCTAGAAATTATCTCTCTTAACAGGCTGACATTTCATTCTAGGACACTCAGTTTGAGCCCATAGTGGAAACATTGCCCCAAGTTTTAGCAGAGATGATGATCTGAAGCAAAGTTCACCTAAAGAAATGAAACATTTGACCTGAGGCCAAAGTGCAAACAAATAGTTATTTCAAATGACCCAGAAGGAACTACTGATAAGGAAACAGCGGTATCCCAGGGAGCAATTAGAATTAGACACACAGCCCTGAGAATGCAGAAATGTACAGGTGAAGGGAAAGAGCAGTAGTGAAAATTCAACTCATGAAACAGACAACCAGACTATTCTGGTGTGAGGGAACATTATCACTATATTTTATTAAATGTCAAATACAGCTCTGGTATTCTCAAATTTATGAGCTCTGCTAACAAAGACAAAGAAACTATTCCCTGAAATTGAGCTGTCTGGTTCAAAGAAAACAAAAGCACAGGCTAGGCACTCAGAGAAGGAATGTGTTTTTCCAAAGGGGGAATTCGGTACACAATTCTCTGAGGGAGGGGATTGGAGAAGAAGTCCAGTTTCTAACATGCACAACAAAGGGAAGAATGAAACAGAGATCCCCCCTTCCTTGTGGTTGTTCTGAACACACAGTCGCAACGTGTTTCGACCCTTAGTGTTTCCATTTCCAGCAGCTCTGCTCCATCCCTGCCCCCACCTCGCCTGGCGCATGCCCGCTTCTGACCATCCAAAGCCACAGCAGCTACGTGTCCACATCAAACCAAATCTGCTGGCTCACCAGGAGCAGAAATCCAAACTGCCCTGGCACCGCCTGGCTCTTCCCCAAGAGGTCCGGTTTTCCTCTTAGGTTACTTCTTCTGTTAACCATGCTACTGTCAGAAAAACCTCCCTCTGGATGGAATACTGTGTGTATTCCATCTGCTCGCTAGGAGCCTTAGCTATTGGGATGCTTGCTGGTTTCAGCACTGACTGCAGAACCGCAGGAGGGAGAGGGGTGTAGCTCAGCGACTTACTGAATTTTTATTTATGCAAAAGAGGTTTCTGTTGCTAGAGGATCAGAAGAGCCTGGCCTAATTTGGAATGCTTTGGACCTGGCTGCCATGATGCCTTCGCCACGTCCCTGTCCAAGACTCAGGGCACCTGGTCTGGTCTGGCTTCTGCATTCTCAATTTGCCATGTAGCCGGGCACCAGGCAGATGTAAGTTCATGGCAAATTGATTGTGCGTGGGACATGGCTTATCGATGGCCACCAGGACCCTTGTCTAGTTGGACGGATGCCAGTAACTGAGGCAGCGGGAGTGTATTAAGATGAATGGGTAAGGCCTGCTGCCTTCTCACCTGGGTGGGTCAGAACTAGAAGATGTGATGTATCCTCTGGTCAGATATTCTCCTCGTAAAGGTAGCCATAGGGAGCCCTAAGCTACTTTTGGGCTAAACTAGCATCCATTTGCTAGCTATTATCCCCAGGCCATGCAGAAAAACTCCTGAAGTTCCTAGGCTGTTGTTGGGAGTTAGTTTCCTCTGGGGGGTCAGTAACAACTTGAGATGTCAAGCAGGTGGGCACTGGGGACACACTCCCTTCCTGGATGTGGGGGCCTGTGACTGAGTACTTGACACTGAGATACAGGCTGGACATATGCTAGGATACCAGGTACAAGACTAGTTTAAACCGATAAGCATATTGCTTGGTGAGGCACATTTTAGAAGAATAATTTGCACCTAAAATAGAAAATTTATAGTAAGATATATTACATATAACTAATTTTTTTTATAAAAAATATATTTTGTATTGATTTCGGAGAGGGAGAGAGAGATAGAAACATCAATGATGAAAGATTGGCTACTTCCAGCACACCCCCCACTGGGGATCAAG